CTCTATCTTCGGGACTCAAAATGGAAATATTTTCTTTCTAACTTTGGACCCCCAAAATTCCAGGTGACATCCTGATCATAAAATGAGCTATGCTAGGAATAAAAATGAACACAATAGGGACGCTCACTTGATTTTTCCACAAAACGAGGTCCTGAACACTCACCCAGCTCTCAAAAGCCCTGTCATGAGCTAGTCTGGAGTGCAGCATCAGCAGTTCTCTGTCTGAGGGGAGATTGTCCTGAGACCTTCCTTGCATTTTGTTTCTAACAATTTCCTGGTTCACAGTGGAAACTTACTGGGAAAATGTTCAAGTTGGGTTCCTTTATTTAATTAGTATGTTAAGCAGCGGTTTCAATTCCAGTAAAGAGCTACGAGCATTTCCTTTGTGCAAGCCACCATATCAAGAGCTATAGAGAATTAACGGAGAAAAAAAAAACAAAAACAAAAAAGTCCATGCCCTTCAGATTATGATGGAACTTAAGGATGAGGAAAATCTGAAGCCAGGAAGAGTCGATTGCCAGGCTGATCCTAATTGTTAGAGCAAATGCAGAGAAAATGTTGGTGGGGCTCAAAAAATGTTTGGCTGCTTGGGGATCAAGATCCCAGATCTGGATCCGGTCACAGGTTGGCTATGGCAGAGAAGAAAGAGAGGAAGGTGCCAAGAAGGGAGGGTTGAGCAGCACCCACATGTGCGGGGCCAGAAGACAGGCTGGAATGAAGTGGGGAGAGAAGGAAGCTAAAGCCAGAGGAGTCGAGAGATCCCTATGGCGAAGGATCATCACCCAGAGTCAGAGGCTGTAGGGGACCGGCGGAAGTCTTCAATTAGGTCTGCAGGCTGTCCTGAAACCCATTTTAGTGGAATGGTGTGGGGCAAGGTGCCAACTGCAGAGGGTGAAAAAAGGAATCAAAACTTAGGAAATAGAGGTCCTCCCTACACCAACGATAGGACACTTGGCTGCAAAGGGAGGAGGGATGAAGAGAGAGGGAGTGCCAAGGACGGATGACACAGAGAGCGACAGCTACAGGGTTGTAAAGATGCAGCTCAGGCCCTATCAGTTGATCTTGAGTTAATCCTAGGTGAGCCAGATCTCGCCAGGCGAGACCTTTAAGACCTTTAACCAGAACCTTTCAGAGGTCCAGACCTCTGCTGAAGTTAGAAACTTGAAACAGCAGAGGGACGCGCCACTGTCTCTGACTTCAGGAAGCTTTTGGGACTCCCGCAGCCACAGGATGTGAGTTGCACAAACAACTTAGGGGGCTCAGAAGCTGATCCTTCCCCATGCAACGCTCAGCTCCTTCCCTACTCGGCCCAGCCAGCTCCTCGCTTCAGCCTCACATGACCCGAGCAGAGAGTTCATGAAGATAACAGATTTCAGACAGTGCTGCTCGAGTCCGCTACCCTGTGGCGCTCCGCAGAGCCGGCGTCGTGAGTACTGCAGGCCCGCATGCTTCTTTCTTTTACCGACGGATTTTTCTTCACCGTTTCTTCACAACCTGATGCGTGGTTTTCCACATCCCTGGATGTTATCTTCCCTCAAATGTGCACTCTTTTTACTGAAAAGTCTGAACAGTGTTCCACCAATGATTTATTGTTTATTGACAGAAGCAAAGGCATGACTTGACTCATATTCTTCTCTCTCTCCCTGACCCTCGCTCTCTCAACTGTACTCCCCTTTTTAAGTCTCTGTGAAAGCATTTCTCCTTGTCTTTGCATTTGTAAATTTTACCAGAGATCCCCAATCCCTCCTCCCCTTCATCGGCCTGACATCAGTCCGCCCATTTTACCTGAACGTCTCAGTGGCCGTCAGCCCTCAGACTCCCGTTGCTGGCTGGCTCTGGTTTAACCCCAGTTCCACGTGCTCCTGCTTGGAGCATCCAGACCCTCCCGGAAATGGGAGCTCTCGGATCTTTTCTCCACACATCACACCTTCTCATTTGTGGTCTCTGTTTCCTTATATTTTTTACCTTTATCATAAATTACTTCCTCTGCTTTTCCAGATATAAATTCGGTTTTGAGCAGAACACGTGACTTTTTAAAAACTTCCTCACTTGAGAGGTTAGACTTATTGCTGATTGCTGCTGTTTCATTTTTATTTCCTTTTTCCCTCTTTTTGAGTTGTTGATACAGGATCCCCTCACTGGCCAGGCTGGAGGTCGGCATCAGGCAGAGACAGGGGACACTGGAGATTCTCTCTGGTGCTGGACAGGTCGGCCACCTGGACCCTGTGGACGTGAGCAGGGGAGCCCACTCACACAGCCACACACAGAAGGAAGGAGGCACTTAGTCCAGAGGCAATTCTCCTCAGTGACAGCTTAGTGTCCCTGGGGTCATCAGCGCCCTCTGCCTCGTGGTCACACAGACGCCTGTACTCCTCTTCAGGCAAGGAGGGTCCATGGGCCCAGTCAGTGGACACTGTTGTGTACAAAGGACCTGCACCCACCCCTTGTTCTAAAAAACCCAAATCTTCCCTTGTGTCTGAGATCCCTTCCAGGGATCCACCTTCTTGAATCATTCCCAGCAGAGTCAGCAATGGATGGAAGAAGTCTCCAGAAACACAGAAGGGGTAGAATTTGGGGCAAATACGGAAGGCCCAGTCTCGGGCATGCTGAGGCAGCAAAAGAAGAGTAACGTTTCAGTGACGGGAGCTGCAGGCAGGTGTGCAGAGCGGGGCTCTCAGAGGGTGGGGCAAGGGCCAGCCCAGCAGCCCCACCTGGGAACTTACCAGAAATTCAACTTTGGGCCCCACCCCACATTCACTGAATCAGGGGGTGGAGCCAGCTAAGTCTCCCAAGACCTCTGCAGACTCAGGTACACACTCACATTTGAGCACCACTCTGCAGGGACAGAGCATTAGTTCATTTGACAATAGTCACAAGTGACAAACTCTTTTATTCCGTGAAACAGAGGTGAAGTCAGTCCATTGTAAGAGTGCCAAAATTCATAAGGGCCTTGGTGGGAGCAGGAAAATATCGGTAAGAATAGCTAATGAGAGAAAAGAAGATGGCCTACATAAGGCTAAGATCCTTACTGGCGACAGGAGTGACACGCAAATAGGCAATCATGGCTTTGACTTCTTGTCATGCTCTCACGAGCCCTGTCTCAGAACCAGAAAGTCAGGGGCCTATTCAGAAGATGCCCAGCTGATGATTTTGTTACAAAGATACAATTACTCCATAAAAGTCTATCATGAACTAAAAATATTTTAATTTTTAATTTTTGAACCACATTTACCACATTTATGACTAATCCTGTCATGGAAGAATCTCGAAATCCCCATAAGCATCCTTACTTCATACAGGTGAAGTAATGTACGAAGTCCATACAGCAGTCGATGTACCCAGGCTCACCAGTCCATGGCACAATTAAGATTAAACCCCCAGTCTAGAGATTTTACTGCTCCTTTCTTCTCATTTCCAACATTTCTCTGCTAGTCCTAGGCCTGAAATCCATGTGAGAAAGTCAGCATCCACCTTTGTGAAGGTGAGTGCAGTTTGGTTTTTATTGGGCTTCTCTCTGGAAAGAGCAGCAGGTTGCCGAACATAACACGGATTTGGCCCAGCCTTGGGCCCTCCATCTAGGGACTTGCCAAGTTCATCCATGAGGCCTACACAGTCCAGAGTCTCACCCAAGCGCCACTCCGTGATGGTGGGTCCATCCACAGGGAAGCAACTGTGGCTACCAGACAGAGTCACCAGGCACATGGACCATATCAAAGGAGACGAGTGAGAGCGAGAGGTAAGTGAGACACTAGAGGTAGAGTCCACAAAAGACTCATGACAGTCTAACCCCAGTCCTGAAGTTGCAGCTTAGAGAACTGGGCACAAGGCCTGATGGACATGCTGTCCTGGGGAGCTCCAGGGGGAAGCCCCCCTTCACAAATGGTGGCTACAGCCCCTCGGGAGACTAGAAGAAGGACCTTAGAGACCATGCTGGCTGGGTTCCTGAGGGATGACGCCCCTCCCAAGGTCACTGTGAGGATTTTATAACTTAATGCACGTAAGGACTAAGAACCAAGTTCCTCACTCACTGTTTTTTCCACAGAACTTTGACATACATCCACTCCAGTGAACTACCATTTCCCTCCTGCCTAAATCATTGAATGAGAACTGATTTATGTGCCAACCCATGAGATTCCCACTGCCTCCACCCAAAAGCCCAGCATCCCCTCTCCACGGAATAGCTCGAATCCCTCTCCTATAGGTCCCAAGCCAAGTCCTCTGATGTGACTGACCATCTACTTAATGCCCCTTTTCATCATCAGTGTTTTATACATTCAGCAGAAAAGTGACATCCAAGAAGGAACAGGCAGAAGATATATTTTTTTCAGTGTATCAAGAGGAAATCTGAGATTAGCAAATCAGCCCCTTTGTCCCATAAATCATCCCGCCTCCCATATTTGATATCTGTTCTAAACAATGTCATGCTCCCATCAGAGGTTGATGCATTCACATTGAGAAGCCCGTGAAGTCTACTGGAGCCACCTGGCCTAGGTAGACCAGGCGGCCACTCACCTTTGTACTCTGGCAGGCACACGCACTCATAGCCATTGATGAGGTCCCTGCAGGTGGCCGCGTTCAGGCAGGGGGCAGACAGGCACTCGTTGTATTCCTCCTCGCAGTAGAGACCATGGTAACCTGATGGGCAGAGCGAAAGACAAGGCGTCAAAAGCTTCCGGTTGAAACCCACACTGGCCACACCTGCAAGGACAAGGACAGTGAATGAGGAGTCATTAGAAAGAGGAGGTGGAAGAAGCAGGGTGTCTTGGGATCCAGCTGAAATGTTGGTTTCCAGGAGAATTACAGAGCACATGTTCTGATCACTCTTCAAGATCCCAGTCATCACCAGAAGTCTTATTAATACATCATGGCCAACGATGTACTGGTGCCCTGGACACCCAGTCACAGAGTCCATCCAGCCCCAGGGGTCAGTGACAGGGAAGGGCCTCCAGCATGGGAGGAACAGCTCCTCCCAGAGATGTGGAGCGCTTGCTTCCTCCAATCCATTGGAAGCACAGTGAAACAAAGAGAATTTTATGAAAGGCAAAAAGATGTAGAACTTCATTTTCTTTTCAAGTCAGGAAAGCAACTCCGCTAAAATGGTTTCATTGGAATTTCTGATAAAATGTGTGGTATTGTTGTGTTTATTTAAAACGAGGTCCGTTTAAATTATAAAAGCTTGGTTTCATTTAAAAGTTTTAACGGTGAAATACAGAGCAACAGCCGTGAAGATAAAGGCACAAGATGACTTTCACTCTCCTGTTTGCAAAACAGGTGTTGACTCGAAAGGACAGGAAGACAACATTCCTTGAGGTTCGCTCATGAATGTCATGTTGTTTTTAACTTTCAAAAACAGATGTTACTGCCAATGTGCAGTGAATTGGGCCATGTTTGCCTGGCCCTGTGCAAACAATAGGAATATGTGATCACTTTCACAAATCACCCTGCCTGTGTTGGTTCTAGAACTCAGATAAGCAGGAAAAACAAACCCTTGCCTCAGTGGAAACTATAACTACTAGCTTTGTCTCAGCTTTCCAACTGCCAGTCCACCCTCAGACTCAGTCAGTCAAGCTAGGGTGTGCCCACAGGCCTCAGAGCTGCTGCTTCTTGTGCCCATCACAAAAATAACCTCAGCTCATATTTGCAGCATTTTCAACTCGGTTGTTTTATAGGCGGTTTTGAATTACTTCCCAAGTGAAGACCATGATAACGGCCCCTTTGCAAAACCTCAACCTACACATGGTTTCCCTTTTGTTGGCTTTTGGTTTTTCCATAGTTTCAGTGCTTCCATCTTAGACATTTTGTAACTTTCTGGAAGTAACGCCCGTTATTCTCCATCATATTATTTCAATCACCTACGTCAGAAGCTCTCATGGATAGCAATGCTGATCGCCAGAAAACAGCTGGTAACGTCAGACACATTTTCAGCTTCAGAGGGAGCGTGAAGGGGGCAGGGTTGCTACTGCATCTGGTATAATGGAACAGGGAAGTATCTACTATGATGCACAGGATGGCCCCAACTGACAAAAATCTATGCAGCAGAAAAATTAACAGAGCCAGGTGGGAAAAAACAACACTGGATCAGGCATCAGCTAGCCGTTGCCAGGGGCCAAATATAGCACTGTCTTTTGCCAATAAACATACACTGAGACGCTACCATGCCCACCCACTTACGTGCTGTCTGTGGCTGCTTTCCCACTCCACGCCTGATGAAGAGGTTGCTATGGTGCTTGCAAAGGTCATCTGACTTGCAAAGCCCCACGTTTTTACTCTCTGTCCCCTTATAGAACAAGTTTACTACCTACAGGTCTAGATTGAACCGAAATCTTTCTTTTACTAGAATTTTGGAGAGTTTCTCCCAGTTTACAAGCAGCCTTCGCTCCACTGATTGCTTCCTCTCAGACACAGTAGCCCTTTGGTCTGATAGAATCCCACTGGTTGGCTTTTGCTTTTGTTGCCTCCAGTTTGGATGTTATAATCAAGAAAGCATTGATGAGACCAATGTTTCAAAGCTTCTCCCCTGTTCTCTTCTAGCATTTTTATTCTTTCAGTTTCAACTTTAAGTCTTTCATCCATTTGAATTGATCTTTTATGAATGGGTCAGATAATAGATGTGGATAACAGGTAGACAAAAAGATGTTCAACATGATGAATCATCAGGGAAATGCAATTCAAAACTGTAGGAGGTATCAACTCACAGCTAGTAGGAGGGACATTTATCAAAACACATACACACAACACACACAGAAAATAACAAGTGTTGGCAAGGATGTAGAGAATTAGGAACACTTATGCACGTAGATGCGACTGCTGTTGAAAACACTGTCAAGATTCCTCAAAAACCAGAACTACATTATGATCCACATTCTCATGTCTGGATAGTATTCAGTCTTAAAAATGAAAGAAATCTTGTCATAGGTGAGCCATGAGGCCATGGACTAAGTGAAATAAGTCAGTCAGTCACAGGAGAAAAATACTTCATTATCCCACTTACATGAGGTATCTCAGACAGACAAACGCATTGAGGCAAAGTAGAATGGCGGCTGCCTGAAGCTGGGGGAGAGGGGTGAGCAGGTGAGGGAGGTGAATGGATCACTGGAGGTTTGACTGAATGAAGGTATACAACAGGCTACTAACAGTCTAGAGAGATCTGCCTGTTATGTGTGTATACAATTAACAATACTGTACTCTACTCTTAATTTGTGAGCAAAATAGATTTCATACTATGTCATTTTTATCAGAAATCAGAACCATAGATCTCTGCTTATAAAGGAAAAGATTCTGTTGGTTTCCTCTCAGTGTGAAGTAACAAGCAGTCAATTTTCCTTTGTATTTGCACTCCAGCAGATCTTCTAAAAACCAACTTGAAAGGATAAAACTCAACCCTGCAAACATCTTGACCCCTGAATTAAAGTGTTACCAGCATCGTCAAATGCAAATTTCATGAAATCACTCATAACTGTTTCCATTTTTTGAAAACTGTATCATTATCTTTTTCCTCTAGCAACAAGAAAGGCAAATGAGGAAGTTATTCTACAAAGATAATTAAGCTGGTGATGTTCTTCTTCCTGGGGGGGGGGGGAGATAAAGGTTTCATATTCTAAAACTGTTTCTTTAGAGACAGTAACATTTAAATGTCTTTATGGAAATGTCACGGCACTCTTTACACTTGGTGCCAAAGAACCCAAATCGGACAGTCTGAACAAAAAGACATTCCTTCCAAAAGAGAAGGCTTCTGTGAAAAAGAGACTACTACCTCCTGCTGGTAATTAATTTGGGCAAATAAATTAGCTGAAGGCAGTCTGCCCGGGGCCTAGAAAAATTAGGCTAGTCCAAAGAAATTTTTTTTAATGAAATAAAACACAAGAAGGGCTACTGTGGTTCCCTCCAAGGCGCTGTCTTCGTTGCAACCACTGCCATCTTGCAAGCCCTGCTTCTGGACATACAGCTCCAATCCCTTCCTTAGGTGGACAGAAGAACACAGCCCACTGGCAGTGGGCATGAGCAAGCAGTTGATGGAGCCATGTGCAGGCTGGGCGAGTGGAAGACCATGGTTTAAGCCCAAGCAAGTATGATCAAGGGACGGACAGGTTTTCCCACATGGATCTGGGATGTTTGATCTGGAATTCCCCTCCCCCTAACCCAAACCCTAAATTCCCATTAGATTCATATGAGCATCAGTGAGCTTGCAAAGTCCACAGAGCCCTTCAGCACTGAGGAGTGTCAAGGGACACACTGGTTTACTGTGTAGACTTCTGTTTGGAGGGAGACTGGGAGACTGGGGGGGAGGGAGGGTGGCATTTCTGTCTGTTGGTACACTCCCAATAGAAATATTTTGACAAACAGAGGAAACCATATCAAGACTCCCTATTCCCACTAACCCTATCAGGCATTCAGATGGTCTGTTGTAGGCAATAGGCTGATGCTGATATTTTCCAGACTCCCAGGGTGCAATTACATTCCTATTACATGCACACACATGCATGCACACACACACACACACACGAAAAAAAGGAAACCTCTGTGCTCACAGAGGAGGCTGCGTAAGCAAACACAGCATCAACTGCTGTGTGAAGGGCGGCCCGACGGGGGCGGCCCGACGGCTGGGTCTGGGGTGCCAGGAGGCAGCGGCTAAGTGCCCAGAGACCAGAGGAAGGGACAGCAATTTAAGAGAGGGGCATGGAGACGTGAGAAAAAGCTAGGAAAATGCCAGATGCGTAAATAGTGTATGCAGAGAAGCCCTGTGCTGGGGAGATGAGCAGGCTGCTGCAGAGCGAAGGTTGGCAAGGGCGTAAGAGGTGAGCAGCTGCCAGGCCCAGGGATGCTCATCGCAGAGAGGAGGGGCAGTCCCGTCAGACGTGCCTCTCAGCCATCACGTGAGCCAGTGGTGGAGGCCTTGGGCCTGAGCCAGTGGTGGAGGACGTGGCAAGGCCGGCAGGTAGTAGATCAGCGGCTGTTGTGAAACAGGGGAAATGTGGGTGTGGAGAGGGTGGTAGCGGCGCCAGCTAGATAATTTGTCACAAGCCAAGGAGAACTGCACTTACTCAGTAATGAATGAGTGGTGAGCAGGGTGAGCAGGGTGCAGCGAGACCTGTGGCCTGACTTGTCAGACTCACAGGTGCTGTTGCTGTCATACCTTCTTTCTCAAGGTATGGGGGTAGCATTTATTGAGGTCTCTTCTGTGGACCAAGCACACTCAAATTCAACATAATTGCATTAATAAGAAGGGGTGGAGTGGGGATGGATGAAAGGGAATAGGGAACCTCTTTCTGGAAGTAGATCTCAACTGAATAGAGGGAATGGTCAGTTCCTCCCAAGAAAGCAGAAGCAAGTAGAAGGAAAGACAGACTTAGTATTAATGAACAATTGCTGGACTCTGGCCACAGGGAAGAACTGGCATGGACGCCGGGCAGAAGGGAAGCCTTCGGGTGTAGTTTTACAAGGGCCGTTTAGGTTAGAAGACACAACACAACAGGAGTGAAGACGGAAAAGTAGAGAGAGTGAGCGGGAGGGTGGTGGTGGGGGGTGGCGAAGAAGTGCACAGGAAGGGGAGAGAGGGGGGAACAGATACCTTGAGGTATCAAGATGGAGACATAAAAAGGCAAAATAAGAAACATCCACCTAGAGGAGAGAAAGAG